AGAGTCAGATTCGACTGGCTTTCGAGCAAGGGAACCTTTACCTTTACTTAACAACTACACCAAACTGGGAAGGTGATCGTAAGCAGCTCTGGGACTCCTTCAGGTAGTGAAAAGCGGGGTATAAAAACTAAACCAACTCTTCTATTTTTTTAATTTTTTATTATCTTTATAACACACCATTTTTTAAACCATGTTTCTAGCCCACCTTGTCCTTACCTAGATAGCCCAGGCTAGCCCAATCGCGTCAGATCTCGCAAGCTAAGTAGGGTCTGCCCTTGTCAGTATTATGCGGTACCGTATGTACGATCTCCTTATACACGGCTGCTGGAAAGGTAGCCTCAGAAATTTACTTTTCAGATTGCTCCCTGGCTGTAGTTATGTTGGCCTGACCAGACTGAATGCCACAAAGGGCTATGAAGCCCGAAAGACAAGCTGTGTGTTACCTGCAGGGGTCATTTCGTGGAAAAAGAGGTGCAGGAACTCATTAGCATGACTTATTTGCATATGACACACCCCCTGACATCACTGGAAGTGTGTCAGAAGGCAACACCCACCGCTCAGGCTCCACTGGACTGTGTTGGATTGCTAGCTATTGGGGGGGGGGGAACGTGCAGATCTGTCCTCGCAGAGGAGGGAGAGCTTGTACCTGAATAAAACTTGGTCTTAAAGGCACCACTGGACTGTTTTGGACCGGGGGGCCGGGGCGGGGGGAGCTCTGCAACTTACCTGGCTGCTTCTTGCTCTGACTGAGGGCTGCTGGGAGCAGGGGGTGGGGCTTGTTGCACGTGCCCGCCCCCTGGGCTCTTTACTGCCGGAGCTCCGCTCCTGTGCACTCCTGCAGGAAATGACCCCTGGTTATCTGGCATTTTTACTGCCCTGTATAATTCCTGAACTGGCAGTGCCCTTCAAGAGATTAATGTGTAATCCAAGAGACCCAAGCATCCCGTCTGTAGAGGATGCCCGTTATGCCTATGTGTGAGTCACTGTTCTGGCCTCCGCCGCTGCACTGGCCGCAGTTGAATCATTCCATTCATCCTCATGCAGAGGCCTGGCTCAGTTTCCTGGACACGTCTGAGGCTTCCTACTCTACAATTAATTCGTCCTGACCAAGCTCTGCTGAAGGTAATTCCACTCGGGTTGCCTGGTCTCCCCTGACTACTGGGAGATGGGGTGTGTGTTGGGTTGCCAGATCCAGGTTGGGAAACTCCTGGGAATTTGGGAATGCAGCCTGGAGAGGACAAGGACCTCAGTGGGGTACAATGTGCCATAGAGTCCACTCTCCAAAGCCTCCAGTTTCTCCAGGGGAACTGATCTCTGTAGTCTGGAGATGAGCTGTAATTCTGGGGGATCTCCAGGTCCCACCTGGAGGCTGGCATCCCTGAATTCCACCGTCATTTATGCTATAAAGATACTGCAGATCGCAGACTCAGAGGGAGACTTGAGCAAAACCTCCAAGTAAGGTTGCCAGGTCTGGGTTAGAAAATACCTGGAGACTTTGGGGTTAGACCCGGGAGAGGGCGGGGTTTGGGGAGGGGAGGGGCCTCAGCATGGCACAAGGCCATAAAGTCCAGCCTTCAAAGCAGCCACTTTCACCAGGGGAGCTGATCTCTGTCTGCTGGAGATCAGTTGTAAAAGCGGGAGATCCCCAGGTCCCACCTGGAGGCTGGCAACCCTACACTCCAAGAGTACTCTCTCACGCATGACGGAGGAGAGATTGACACCAGAGTCTTCTAGTTCCTTCGCTGGAAATTACCTACAGGATGGACATGAGGTCACATAGTGAACATTTAACTAAGAGGGACTCGCATTTGCCCGAAATAGAAGTCCATCAGCCAATTGACCATGAGTCACCTCCTACACCTCCCCACCAATAACCTCTTAAGACAACAGCTGTTGAAGTCATTCCTTGCCCGTCTTGCAAACCAGACCCATTAAGGGGTCAAAGCAGTGAGGCGATTCAGGCTGGTGTTACCGCCTCACTGCCTGCCGCCGCTTCCTATTTTGAACATCGAACATTTGGGGACAAGGAAAAAACTCTGCACAGCCAAGATGCTGTAAAGTTATTACCTATGTTGTTTCCCCCCCACCCAGTTGAACTAAAACAGATGATAATCTCCAGAAACTGAGCGTGTCATTCTTTTGGTCTGTTTTCACTATTTTGCATGCTAATTTAACAAGCCACCCCTATATATACAGCTATGATATGTAATTCTATTTCATCACCTGACGAAGTGTGTGCGCAGACGAAAGCTCACATGTTGGATAAAAATGTGTTGGTTTTTATTTATTTATTTATTTAACATTCAACTTTATATCCCGCTCGAACCCCCTTGTCAGGGGGGTCTCTGAGCGGCTTACAATTCGGTGCTAGTCACCATTTTACTTCCCTGACTAAGGCCACATATTTGTATGGGGTTGAATTTTTGCTCACAAGATTCCGCAGCTTAGAGCGAACAGACGGGCTTCTCGCAAATTAGGACACATCGATCCCCCAGTTCTAACATATTTATTACCTATGTTGTTTCCCCCCCACCCAGTTGAACTAAAACAGATGATAATCTCCAGAAACTGAGCGTGTCATTCTTTTGGTCTGTTTTCACTATTTTGCATGCTAATTTAACAAGCCACCCCTATATATACAGCTATGATAT